ACACTTGCTCTCCTCTATTTCATTAATACTAGATATAATGTTTAATATTTACAATATGCGAAAGTTTGTCTTGTGCAGATCAAAAATCTATTTATTTCTAAAAAAAAAAAGTAAATATGTTATTTTTTTAACTAATACTTATCTTCATAGAATAGAAAACATTTTATTCGTATAAAAATTACATACTGTTAAAGTTGTTGTAAGAGATAGTTTTATCTTAGTTTATATTCTAGCCAAAATTTAAAAACTTTTCAGGACATTTTTTTTAGATACTCATAGAAGCTCGTCATCTGTTTAACAGAAAAAAAACTATCCTAAACAATAATGAAACATGACAAAAACAAAATATATTTTAATAAGGAAAAAATATCTACGTCATATATTCTACGTACGTTGTTTTAATTTTCTAAAACATTTTTATTGCTTACAAGACAAATGAAAAAAAAAATGGTATTTTTCTGATTAAAATTTGTTTGAATACATCTACGAGATAAATCTTTTTACAATATAAAATCTAGAAATGTTTTTTTTTTTATATGTAGAATTGTATGCAGATATAAAAATATTTATTGATATTATAAGGATTACTGAATATACGTTTAAAAACTAACAAGTCATACACATCACTAAATTAATTCAATACGATAACTGATTTAAAGTATTGTATTTACTTTTCAATTTAGAAAAGAAATTGATTCTAATATTTTACTATTTGCATATATACAGAACTTTATTGTATGATTCATAGTTAGAAGAAAAGAACCATTATAAAATTAATTCTTTATAGTAGTATATACACTATTGTATCGACATTTTCTACAACGAACACGTGGTTGTAAATAAAAATTTTAAAATAAAAAAAATATGTTGTTGTTATTTTGTGTAAATTTTGATAGAATTAGTTGTTGGTACAAGAAAAAACGTATTTTAATACTCTTGAGGGTGTGGGTGTAAGATTATTTTATTCGTTAAATATTTTATTAGTATCCACTAGTTTCATTTTTTTTATGTATGTATCCTTCGTTTTCGTCACACATGAGTTACTCTCATATTAAACATATCTTTCTTTTTCTTTCTCTTTTTCTTTATCAAAGATTTGTGCATAGCTGTCATATATTTTGATGATCATAATTTTATTCATACGATAGCTATTGATAAATCTAAACAATCGATCAATAGATTAGTAATATTTTTTGTACACCACGTAAGCGTGGGTATCAACGAAACGAATAGTCGGTAATGTTACCTACATAAAGTAATATTTTTATAATATGATTTTTTTCTGAATATAGAATAATATTAGTATAAGCAAGAAGTGTATTGTATATTTTTATCAAGGCTAAATACAAGCCGTGATATTTTGATTTACAAAATCAAAAGTAGGTCCTCGTTTTAAAATACACACTATCAGACAATATTTATTATTACATTCGATACAAACAAATACAATGATTAATAACAAGACTCTAATATACGTTTTCGCATTAATGGTTTTATGCTCAACTATGTGCAAGTCTCATTTCGTCAATAATGATTTTGATGATTATACCTCTCTTGATACCAGCGACGAATTTATCAGGAGAGTGTTCCAGGCATATCTGAAAAAGCGTATTGCTCATTCATTTTAACTATGATCGGTGTTGTTCAGGATACTTGTCTCACACACACAACATTCGCTAAAATATTTGAATATAATAATGATTAGAATTATTCACTTGCGGTAAATTTCTTTTTTTAGTGGTTACACTTTGATTACTTTTATTTGGAATAACAATATATTTGAAGAAAACATTTGTTTGAGTTATTCATGAGTCATATATATCTATTAATTATATATTAGAAACTTGAAGCTTTTCGTAATAGTCAATAAATCCTGAATGATGACTTACTCATACGTGTACAATAACTACAGATCTTTTGAGTGCTGAACAATCTTTTTTATTTTTTTCTACAATAAACAAGTATTGGAATAGAACATTAATTACAATTATTCATCGTCGATATAGATACTAAATTTATCACAATTGTTCGGTTTATTGTTAACGATGCAAATATTTGAACAGAACTATCCTTATAATTATTCATATACAGTGTATCCATGAAGTTTAATAAATCTCAAATTTTGACTATAGAAAGAGATATATCTGACTAGAATCCTACTTGGAAATATTCATTTGGAATATATTCATCAATCATAGACAAACTTTCAATTCTTCTTGTAAAAGACAGATGGTAATTGAATAGAATTATAATTAAAATTATTCATCTAATATATTATCTTTATTTTTATTATTACAGTGCCTGTCTATTTCGAAATCCTAACATTATATTCAAATACAATCGTTGTTAGAAAAATTCAATTATTATCTGATGATTGATTATCTGAGTGAACGAAATTTTGCTTTTAGAAGAAATAAAATAATTGAGTAGAATGATCTTTTCAGTTGTTCATTTTCTACTAGTTTCCCTGCACAGAAAATGATGTCTACCTTTTCCTTGAGTAAGTGAGATTTTTGACTAATATTATCCATAGAATTATTTATTTAATACATACTATACAATCATGTTACAACTTCAATTACATTTTGAGAAACGAAAAAGATATTTGAACAAACTATGACAATAGTATACTATATTCATTTTCCATTAGATGGTTAATCACTGTTGAAAACGAAACTATTTTCTTGAAAAGTTAAACATATATGGATCTGTTTATCACTACAATATTCATTTTCCATGTAACTATAGTATGAAATACTCATTTTATTAATATCTGTTGCTGTAATTAACATATTTCTATCTGACTACTGTTCTACAATTCATATATCGAACCATCCTCAATTAGACATTCAATGGCAAATTTTGTTTTGAAGTCGTCAACATATTTTAATGAATCTCTTGTTCGCTCAATTTATATTACACGTGAGAGTAAGTTACATACTTCAGTACATACAAAATTTATATGTTCTTCAACATATTAGTATGTACCCTTCCTACCGAATATTCATTATCCTTCACTCTATGATCAAATAATCTCTCAAGAATATGTCTTTAATTTCAACAAAATAGTTGAATTATAGCTTGGCATGAGACATTCATAATCGCTATCTCTTGACTATTTACTATCATACTAACGTGACTTCAAACTAACGAAAATATTTGAACATACTACTATTATAAAATCTATTCATTGTCCATTAGTTTTTCAATCTTCGAACTCAACGGAAATCCAAAATTTGATTGAGTAAAGTATGTGAATATGATGTTTGTTAGAAGTGTTCATTTGTCGTTTGTTTTAAGATCTTATAATGTCAAATAAAAATCTTCTTTTGAATGAAATAAAATACTTGAACATGATCTTGCTATGACTTCTTCATCTGCCATTTATTTGTGAATATTGAACTGTTCTAGAAATCTACTTTTGGGTGAATCAAAATACTTGAACATGATCTTATTATGACTTATTCATCTGTCATTTGTTTGTAAATATTGAACTTATCTAGAAATCTCCTTTTGAATGAAACACAATGCATAAACACAATCTTGGTGCGATTTATTCATCTGTCATTTGTTTGTGAATATTGAACAGTTCTGGAAATCTTTCTTCGAATGAAACACAATTCATAAACACAATGTTATTGTGATATATTCATCTGCTGTTTGTTTATGAGTGCGGAACCATTCTAGAGATCTTCTTTCGAACGACACACAATATATAAATACAATGTTTTTGCGATTTATTTACCTGTCCTTTATTTGTGTGTGCTGAACTGTTCTAGAAATATTCTTTTTGGTGAATCAAAATATATGAACACAATCTTACTATGACTTATTCATTTGCCGTTTGTTCATTCATTGGTTGATCGAGTAAGAATTCAATGCAACGTAAACGAAATAGTTGCATCAAGCATTTGTGCAGATAGTTTATAAGTCATATATACTTATCAGTTACTTAGCTGTTACAAATCTTTCTTTCAACACTTTAAAGTACTTGAACACAATCTTCAGATGACTTATCCATCTATCGTCATTTATTAGTCACTAGTACATCTTTTTAAATACTTTTATAAAGTGAGCTACATATTTGAATGGATATTCAAGCATAAGGGTAAATATATTTTCCTAAGATTATTCTTTTATTTATTCAAGAAAGAATAGTTCTAATATTGTATTTTATTTTTTATATATTTTCTTTCACATTATTCTTCCATTTAAATTCTAGTATTCGACTGTATACTTCTTTGTTGTCTTCATAGGACCGACGAATTGCATTTATTGGCGTACAGAATACAAAACATTCACATTTGTTAATCATTTAGGTACTTCCGTATTTTTTATCTACCATTTTCTTTTTTTTTTATATTCACTCTTTGTTTTTAAATTCAAATAAAATAATTAGAAATATCTCTTATTTATTGTCTTTTTTTGAAATAACAAAAGATATCTTTGAAGCACAATAAATAAAATAAATCCTTTAATATGATCGATTGTGGTTGAATTCGATACCACGTGGAAAGAAATAACGATTAAAATTATTATATTCATTCAAGCATGACATTTGTCTACACTCATCGTGGAGAGTAAAAAAAATTGCACACGTTGTATAGAGAGAAAGAGAACAGAACAGAACAGAAGAATGTTGATAGCGAAGGCGATATGTAATAAAATTGTTTTATGCAAAAATAAAAATAAATTAGATGTATATGAGAAATAGCACGTGGTTTTTAGTTGAAAACTATTATCTTTTATTTATCAACTATTTCGCTGGTCCATTTGTTCAACAATCAAAATAGGAAGCGACAGAGGAGCAGCTTCAGCTCTGAATACTCAAACGTTCTCAGTTGAGAATAGTTTTTTTTCAAACAGGCACACAAACAAACTCATTTTAATTTTTTTCTTATCATCCTCCTTACAGTCGAGAATATATATATATATATTGACAAGTTAAAGTGAAATACTTTTTTTAATGTATGATTTAATATTTCTAATGAATGTTCTTTTTTTATAGTTAATATTAATCGATTTGAAATTTATAATTACTAATAAAGACTTTCTATATTACAAGTAACGCTCGCACAAAGATTCGCTCAACTCTTTCTCGTGGAAATGGTATTTCTAACAGAGCTATAGACTTTTTTAAAAGACTGTTCTTCATCTACAAAATGATTCTTAAAAAAAATCATAAAAAAATTGACGTCAGATTCGTGTTCGTCGACTCTGACTACCTTTCGATCGATCCCTATAGAATTTTTTTTGCCTAAAATTCATCTAAATAAACATAATCAATAAGCAGCATATATATGACATATATATAACAGTTTGGCATCAGTGATAAGACTTAGTCTATATACTGAAACATAATGACTTATAATAAAAATCAAATCTCGTAGTAAAAACAACTATTTTTATACAAAATATTTCTGCTTAGATTCTAATTATATTGCTAGTAGTTTTGATTTCTTAAAAGAACATCTTAATTATGATAAAATCAATATTGTTGTTATACGATCACGCACGGAGAAAGTTAGTTTACTTTTATTTGATTAATTTTCTTTTTTTTAATTAAGAATGATAATATCAATAAATTCAAGTAAATAGAAAGAAAGTGTTGATACGTAGACAAACGGCTATGTACACATAGACAGATATAAACATCTTATTAATAAAGATCAATTAATTTAGAAGTATTTTTGATGTTTTCTCTTGAATGTATCATTCTTTTTTTGGTGATCAATTATAAGATGAAAAAAATAGTTTTGTTGTTTGATTAGCTCAAAAATGGAACGTTTAAAGAAAAAGAAGTTTACTATATATATATTGAGTTCACTGAATAATCGGCATTACTTCGTGCACAACATAAAATTTGATTTAATCGAGTATAGTATTCTACATCCTAAAAATATTTATTGTCCGTTATATATAAATCAAATTATTAGGAAACTTATTTTTATATCTTTGCTTCGTCTGTTTTTACTTCTAATGCAGAAATGTCTAGTCAGTTTGTCCTTTTTAAGAACAGTAAGAAAAATAAAAAAAATTCATAGAGGAAAAAATAAAATAAAATTTATTTTTCTCTTTATTTTATATAAAGGTTACTACACCGAGCAGCCACCATTAAATTTCATTCTCTTGTCTAGCATACAAAATGCTTCAAAGGTATGTTTTTCGCTCAGCTATTTACTTACACGAAATAATCCAAGCCATATAAATGCAAAATAACTTGGAACTATCTGGCTTACAATTTTAATTAATATTAATTATACTATTTATCATATCTGTACATGAATTTTGAATATAATCTATTGAAAAATATCGTTTTAAGAAAGAAAGACGAAAATAATATATATAGATATCAAATTGCTAAGATTATTTATGTTCAGTGTATTCTGTACTACTATTTTCATGTTGGGAAAACTTCTTAAAATAGAATTGTTTTTTAATATTTACTACAAGTAGTGTAGTCGCTAATAACGAGGGTAAGGAAAAAAACAATATTGATGCAGACATGACTAAACAAAAGAAAGTGTAAAACATCTTTAATTATTAACGACAGTTTGAGAAGTAGCTATATAAATTTTCCTAGACATTGACGTCTGTGAGTGTCACATATTTTTTGTTATTTGAACAAATATCCTAAATCAGTAGAATAGGAGTGATATCTTTATCTATAGTTAGTGTCGATTTATATTGTTACTTTGGAAGAATAAAAAATACAAATTTTGTGGAATAACTTTATACTAACATTATCACAAAACGGATGAAATCTAATGCTGAGATTGAGAATGAAATTAGTTACAGTTAAAATTCTAGTATCTGAATAATAAGAAAATTTTGAAAAGATAAATCGAAGATATATTCTGGCTTGATTCAATCGAACTTGTTTGACGAACGAGGAAACATCCATTACTCGAGTATCTCTACAGATGAAATATGAATCAGTAGTGTAGTGATATTTTATATACATTAATGAGATATCTAATATAAAACATTCAATGATTAAACAAACATTTTACTCAATGTAAAATATCATCATAGTCATAAACATCTTCTCCACAAATTTTATTTCTTAGTATCTAAAATATAGTAGGAATTTCAATAAAACTTTTGCCTAACAGCATTTTCATCAGTGAGAAAGTTCTGGTACTCTATGTCTTAACTGGAACTGAAATAATTGAGTTTATTTTGTTTGCAACAATAGTTTTGTTATTTTTTCAAATAGGTGCCAGTCTGTAGAAGGTGATCATGTACCATGCCAATTCAAAAATGTACAATTAAAGACAAATGCAAGTTATATGATATGGAAAAATATAAATGATAAACTAAGATTTCAAAGAGAATTAAATAGAAATTCATTTGAACAATCTGATGTTGAACAGACAAGCAGCTATGAACGTAAAATGGCATATTTTATACGTTTTCATTTACGTGATATTTTAACAAGTGATCATCGTCATGTTTGGTTTAATATTCAGACAAAATCATTGGATGATATTCAAGATCGTAGTCAAATCTTGATGAAAGTTCCAGATGAAATTCCAGTTGTTTATAGTTTTGGATCAATGCTATCATATGATACGTTTATGGGACATTTTAATGATCGACCTCTTGCTCGTATTTATGTTCAAAAATTTCCTAAAGCAATTAATTTGGAAACGACAACACATAATTTCATAATTCACCTTAAAAATATAGATCCACAAATTTTAATCAATCATTCTACTAATGATAATTCAATACAAATGATTTTTCAACTTCAAGCATCGCCGATAATTAAACAACGCAACGAGCAGAATCATCCGTAAGCTACAAAACTTTGTCTCATATTCAATATAGATCATACACATACAAGAATAAAAATATAGTAGAGAATTCATCTATTAAATGCCATAAAGCCTTGTTGATTTTCACTTGCTTGTTTCTTCAGTAGATTAAACATTTTGAGATTGTATAAATATGATCGTATAGAACCGTTTTGAAAGGATTTTTACTACTGAATAGATTCAGTTATACGATTGCACTGTTGCATATGTCAAACTTTATTTTATTAGAAACGCAGTATATCTCATTGTTTTTAACTATCTGGATGATTGTAATCTTCATCTTTAGTGTGCATGTATTGAGTGTAAATTATTAGTATTCGATACACTTCTACTTATATGATCATTGAAATAAAAGAGTGATCGAAAATAATTTTAAAAATAATTAAATTTTTTTTCTTCTCTTAATTTGTATATTTAGTGATAAAAAACGAATGATGGAAGAAATACCATTATGCAGTGATTTACTTATCCGCTTTTTTCCAGCTAATATGGCATGGATCTTTTTACGTGACTTACCCATTGCTGGATATTCTCGAAGAGCATCTGATAATGTATTTCATATAAATTTTGCTCTATTTGAATGGCATAAACACTCTGATAATCTTCCTCGAATGGGCAAACCATCATATAACTCTCATTATGATTCATATGGAATTGAAATGCTCTGGTCATTGGGTTATAAATTTCAAGATAAGCATTCTGCCAATTCTCAATGGATACGTACCATACGAGAGAAAAAATTTTACAATTTATGTTGTACAATATGGCATAATTTAAAAAAAAATCATTGCTATCAAATTCAAGATGCATTAAATGAACAAACTTTAAAAATACATGATAAACCTTCTAACGTATTGCCACAATTAAAAGAGGTACCATTTGTCATTATTACACCACATCGTATCGAATATCAACCATTGCAATCAACAATTTGTCATCGAGGATTTGATTTATATCCTTCAGAAAACTGGTTACTTGTTCATATACGTGATTATAATGGAATAGATAAGATTAGGGATATAGATGTTCAAATGAAAGTTTATTTTAGAAATAAAATGCTTCAAGGTATACGTTACAAGGATCGTCAATATCGCTATTTTGGTTCATCAAACAGTCAAATGAAAGATCAAGCTGGTTGGTTTTTATCAGTACCTGTCGGAGAAAACATGAAATCAGCGCGTGAAAAAGTTGGTGACGTGTCAAAGATTCGCCAAGTATCGACTTATACTGCAAGAGTTGGTCTATATCTGACAACATCAAAACCAACCGAGGTAAAAACAGATTTCTATTTCTTTAAACGATTATATGATATTATAATCTTCAATTTTTATATTTAGATTAAATTGACTTACAAAGGTGAATCTGAGAAGGCAGATGGAGAGCCTTATATAAAAAGAACACCGTCTTTTTTCTCACGCATGAAAAAAATGGTATGACTCTAAGAACCATAAATATATTTGTTTATTAATAATAAATTTTTAGTTTTTTAAATCTAGACAAGAAACAATAGAGTATATGGCTATTACTATTCCAGATATTGAACGTAATGACTTTAAATTTACGGATGGTTGTGGTAAAATTTCGTTCGATCTTGCAAAGAAGGTGGCAATAAGTATTGGCATTCCAATTATGAATGCAGTAGAGTATTTTAAAGTATAAAACTCATTACATATTACGAGATTTTAGTGTGATATACCTTCGGCTTTTCAAATTCGAATTGCCGGATGCAAAGGAATGTTATCGATTGATCCTGAATCAAAACTAGGTGACAATAAATTCTATATTTTAGTTCGAGAGAGTATGATTAAGTTTGATGGTACTGACTGGACTCTGCACATTGTCGATCATGCTCGTCCTAGTAAATGATTGATTAATATAATTTTACATTATTTTGTTTGTTTTTAGTGCCTTTAAGTTTGAATAATCAAGTTATTCGATTGTTGAGTGATTTAGGTATTTCTAATGGTGTATTTGAATCTATTCAAACACGATGTATTGATCGACAAGAATTTTGGCATCCACCAGCTAAAAGTTATTTGAATGCATTAGACTCTCTTGATCAATCAGTTATTAATTCAATGCGACAAAAATATAAAAATACGTTAGTTAATATACTAAATATGTTTCTATTAATTATTTATGTTTTTAAACTTAACAGAAAATATTTTCTTCGTCGAAATAAAATTCCATTACCATTAAACGAGGCTCGAAATCTATTTGGAATTGCAGATGAAACTGGAAAATTAAAACCCGGACAATGTTTTATTCAATATCGTAATCTCGAAAATTCATCACGATCCGAAAAATACAAAGTACATGAAGGTATAAGTTTTATCCTTATTATTTTATACAAGGTTCAAATTATCTTTATCTATTCATTTTAGGATCTGTCATAGTGACTAAAAATCCATGTCTTCATCCAGGAGATATTCGTAAACTTGAAGCAGTTTTTATACCAGAACTTGAGAATTGTATACGTGATTGCATTGTATTTTCGACCGAAGGTTTTCGACCTACTTGTAATGAAATAGCTGGATCTGATTTAGATGGTGATCAATATTGGGTTTATTGGGGTGATGAAATTAAAATTACAAATGTCGAGCAACCATTTTTTTATCCATCTGCAAAAAACTCTCGTGGTACAGAAGTAACTGATGAACTCATTGTTGATCATGTACTTGATACATTCACAAATAATTTACCAGGTCTTATTAGTAATATACATAAAGTTATTGCTGAGAAGCATCCTCATGGTACACGTTCTAAAGAATGTCAAGAGTGTGCTGCACTTTTTTCTCGAGCAATTGATGCATGCAAAACAGGTGAAACTATTTCAAGAAATCGTATTAACGAATTAAAAGAGGCATATTATAAAACATGTCCAACGTGGATGATGAAATTTGATAAACCAAAGATGGATCCGCCAAGTAAATCAATCAATGAAATTCTTTATCGAAAAGCTTTAGAAGCATATATTCATCCAGATAATTATCAAGATGTTTTACGACCTCTTCATCCAGATAATTATCAAGGTGATTTACGATCTCTTTCAGACAATGAAAGACGTACGAGCCAAATAACAATTGATATAGACGACACTAATCAAGTTTCACAAGGAGATTCATATGAAGATAAAATTAATCGTTGTCGTAGTTGTTGCACATGCATCTGTTGTCTACTTTTCGTTATCATAATAGTGTCATTCTTTTTTGCATTCTGGAAGAAAAAGTAAAAACAACAATGGACTTTTTCACTAATGCTACGCATTCAGTTTAAATTCAACTAGTAATTTTCATGATTCATTTTATTTTAATCAGTGGATACATTTGATTAAAAAAAGTAAAATCATAGACACCGTCATCACATTTATTGAATTTTTTCTATTTGAATTTGAGTTGAATGCTTGACATTGTTTTTGTTGTTGTTGTCTGTATTCATTAATATTATTCAATAAACTTATCAAGAAAAATTTTCTATTATTATTATTGTCAGAAATAGATTCTCATTATATTATATGAATATATATTTACATAGATTTCATCGTAGAAGTAAAACATAAGAAGACAATATGAATGAAATTGGAAGGGAGAGAGTGTAAGAAAAATTTTCAAATGTAGGGATGCGCATCTCTGCCACAGTCTATGAATATTCAACTGAGATTATCAGTACACTTGAATTTTATGTATTATTAAGTAATATTGTTTATGTGAAATAAAACATCTCTGATTTTATTATGTTAACAAAATTCTAAAATATGTTACTCATAACTTAATATAAAAGATATCATATATCTAATTTATTTCATAAGATTCCTTAACAGTATTTTTTCTATAATCTAAGAAATTAACATTTTCCGAACGAAGAAAGCGTTTAAACTAGATTCGAACATATACAAATCATACATTGTACTATAAATATATTAATATACATTCAAATTCATGTGATTTACCAAAATTCTACTGAAACGATGAAATACATTATCGATAGATGAGCACATATTGACTGGGTTTTTTTAATGATCGATACATATGAGAATATCCTATTTTTTTTGCTCTAAAATTAAATGATATTGTTTCTATCATCAATCATTGTTAAACTGACAATTTCATCATTCAAGTGAGAAATGATGCATAAAAGAATGGAAATAATTAATTTTACAAATTTTGATTATTCTCAATAAATATCTAATACTCTCATTCTCAAATAAAAAAAAAGAACGTTATTGTATATTTCAACAGTTGGTGCCTCTTTCTATATGCAAATAAACTCTATGATCATTGATACAATAGTCATCGTTTTATATATTTCTTTCGCTCACTATTCATTTCTTCCAATCACGCACAATACATAACCAGATAATCATGGCTCATTAATAGATCAACATCATCATATAATAATAAACAAATTGCCAAGCAATATAAGCATCTTTAAAAAACGATTAGTCAACTTCCTTTTCTTTTTCTTTTTTTGAATGATGAACTTGTCTTTATTTATTTATCTACATGATTTGATTAATTATTATTGGTGAAAAAATCGGAAGATATAGAAAATATTTCGAGTATATATAGAGCTGACTTTTTCTTTATCGTTTATAATTATTTTTTTTCATATAGAATATATATCATCTACTAAAAGGTTAGTTTTCGGACAGGTTCACATTTGTTTGCTAATGTTTATCATTGAATTGATTTAAGCAAGTAATTGTGTACCTGCACGATATTAACCTAGATTCATCAATCAACAACAACAACGAAGAAATTATCAAATGAAAAAGATTCTTAAGTATTAGGCTCATCACCTGTAAACTGAGCGAATTTGATTTACTATCAGTTGCCAGGTTTTTGGCCCTCGTACAAGAATCTATATACATCGATGATATCTTCTTCACTTTTAATTTATTTAATAACCTTCGATATTTTCAGAATATAAATAACTTATATTAAACAGATGTATTTTTACATATGACCATGGTAAAAGAAGGAAACAGCTGTTCATTTTAATACATAGTTGACTGCATTCTATTATACAATATATTTTAACAAGAATTTTAGGTACAAAAAGCCATGACATATGCAGTTTGACTATGATCTTTATGAATAGAATATGATCATTTGGTATAACCATGGACATATACTTATCATACGATAGTATATTATCGAGGAATTATGTAATATAAATTATGCTTTAGTTCTCTGATTTCTGTTACTTACCTTTTCATTAAATTTTTGTCTCAATGAAATTGTTCAATGTAAAATGTATTCGTAATTACATGTGAACTTTTTCTTCTCGCATTAAGTTATATACATCAAGATAAAGTTTAAAATTTTGTATGTCTACTGATAAAGGAAATATACTGATTTAGAAAATTTTCATTAGAAGTGAGAAAAATGAAGATTCTAGTGTCATTATAATCAATTCTATTGTGATCGAATTTAATGTATTTTAATTATAAATACAAGCATAGTATCATGCGATTATTATTAGATTACTTGAGAAATATGTAGTGTGTCTTATTCATCGACACACAAAACTGAAGAAAAGAAGATTATAAATTTTCAAGTGTCTATTACATTCAAACTTTTTTAGGAGCGGTGATGCTTTAAAGCACCATTAAAATTTCGCATAAGGTAACGCGTGAGACTTCGGATTTTTCCTTACTATCGATATGATTATATGATCTCTTATGCCATGTGTAAGACAAAAAAAACGAGAAAATATCTCGAACTGTCATAATTGTGTCTGCAACTGTTCGAGACCTTATTCAAGAGTACGGATCAAAGCGATTACACATCACTTCTTGTCATTTCATTCATGAAAATAATATCATTTTGATAAATTTAGCAAATTTGTGATTTCCCTCTATAGTAAGCCAGTCTTAAAAAAGATTAAAACAACATGTGCTTTCTATCATATAGTACTATATTAATAAATGCATTTTCATTAAAGTTTTTTTCAGTTTTCTTATATATTTGAGAAAGAAAACAAACGAGATAGGATAATGAAATAAATAAATCCATATGCTTGCATTCAATATACAACACAAAAATCACTTCACACCAAATCTTTTGAAATTTATTTACATACAAAGAAAAAAAAAACAACAAGCATTCATATCAAACAAACAAACTTTTTCATATTTTATGAGAAATTATTCAATCAATTGTATTCAGTAACAAAACAAAACGAATTTTACATTCCTTATCACAAGATAGAATTCCAATCGATTATTATTATGTATATTAAGCATTTGCCGATGTTATTGGTGGACGTAATAATTCTTTTTCTTGATCTTTAACAGGTTCAAATAATAAACTTTGCTTCGATTGACGCTAAATAAATATGAATAAAATATTAAAATTGTATTTTTCTTTTTAAACTTACTCTTCGATTAAAAAAGAATAATTCAATTATGACGATAATAGCACAAAGTGATAAAAATGCGATAATTATGTAGACTAATCTAAGTGATTCATAAGCATAATGTCCTTTTTCGAGAATAACAGTAACATGATGTAAACGTTGTAATGTTTCATTATGAAGTATTATTGTCTAAAAAACACGAAATAAAATAAAAAATAAAATAAAAATTTTCTTGTTACTTGATCAATCCACATCATTGGAATAAGACGACGAATAGCACGTGTATTAGTAGGACTAAATAATAAAAAAAGAAATTTTACTTTTAAAAAGAAATTTTTTCATACTCTGTTGATCCATCTGCATTAAGTCGAAGTCGATCAATCCAAGCATTTGTACTTAATTGAATACGTAATTGAGCTCGAATTGGTGTGCCAGAAAGTGGTTCAAAATAAATTGTTGATTCATGTTTATCAAAATCAGGTTTAAAATCAACATTCGTCGATGAAGCATTATGACCAAACATATGTGGTTTTGATAGAAAAACAGTTTCTTCAGGTATTTCCGCTGAAACAAAAAAACATTATAATTTAAATAAAATATTTTTTTCTGATGATTTTGTGTATCTTCCAAAGATATATTTATATTGTTAGACAATATTAGTAACATTTAAAAGACAGAAAGAACGATTCTACATTATTGAAATGTAAACCTATTGAACACTTAGAAAGAAAATCTTGTCTTCTTCAGTTTTTCTTCGTGTGGGTTTGCAGTATTACTGCGAATTACACTATTTACAGAATTTCTGTTTATTTGTAATTTGTATATGAGCAAGGTTAACATTTCATCTTAGCGCTTGTTTATATGATGGACTTTTAAAAGTTAAAAAGGATTCGAATGAGTCTTATGTCTTATTGAAGAACTATTGCGCAATAGAAAAATAAAGCAAACGTTATTGAAAATGCTAAATCATGAATGTTCCAGTGCTTTCTGACTAATTATTAATGAATATCCATTGTTCGAGTCCCTCTTTCACCAACCAGTTGTATTCGATACTATACCTAGAAAAAGACTACTTTCACAAAACTTTATATCAACATCGCTACTCATATTATTATTTTTCCAGACAAATGGAGATAGTATCAAAATATGAATGATATGCGATTACAAAATCATTAATTAGACCCATCCTACAAATCATGTTTACGCACAGATACTCTTTTTGAAGCTTAGAAAACGACAAGTCTTCTTTAAGTATCAAACTCAACTTGAGAACTGATTCCTATTTTAAATTTACATACCTGAAAGACATTTTGTAATATCAAGTTTATCAGCTTCTGGACAATTTTCATCCATTTTAGGACATTTTTCTACATCGACTAATTTCAAAACATATTCATGTAAATGATCAAAACCAAATTTCGACACTGTTCGATTATAACGAAGTTGTACAGGTCTAAAAGAAAATTCATCGAATCTTAAAAACAATCATTATTTTGTATTATATCTACAAACCGACAAAAATCTGGTTGGAATACATTAATAACTTTTCGATTTGGTGGATTTCCTAATGGTGGAAATGTTAAACCATCTGAAATAAAGAAAAAATAATTTTCAAAATCTTCTAAACAAAATTTCTCTTACCAAAAATATCTGTTTGCCAATCTTGACTTTTGGTTTTAAATGGTGTACTAAAAAACAAAAAATTCTATAAAACTATAATTATAAAATCAAATCATACTATTCAGTTTCAAAATTAATCATTTGTCCTTTTATTGTTGAGTTTTTAATACCAGTATGAATAGTAAAATTAAATCCATTTGTTCCATTATACTAAATAAAATATATTTTTTTTTATATTCTTTGTATTTATATTATTATTTCTTACTCGATAAATAAATCCATATTTATCTTTATTTGGTCCTTGCATTCTTGATGAAATAGCAGCAAATATTGGAGATATATAACCTTCTAATTTATCAATAGCTTTCGAATAGTTAAATGCATTATTTCCTCCAAGAATAAAAAAAACTGAATCAGCAACACGAGCAAATTTCGTTCGAAACATCTAAACATAAATTAATTTTCTTTATTATAAATTTCTTCTCAATAGACTTACAACACGAAGTATATCAACAAAAGCACCTTCTTGATTAAGTAATGTTTCGTTATATTGACCATATCGTTTAAATAAACGTTCAGTTGAATAATGAATTTGTGTATTATTATTTAACCATTTGACATTATTTTTTTTAACAGTAACTCTAAAAAAAAATTGTATGATTTAGAATAGCTTCGCGTACGAAAGACTTAAGTATAGATACTCTTTCCACATACTGCAAAGTTAATGAATTTCATTCTTTGTCAAAAGTTATGATGAGACAGGGACAGTTTCTCACTAGTAATGACTCGTTTTTGGATAGAAATACTAGTCATAAGATACTTGCAAAGCTCTGTCCTATAAATATTATGGTTAAAATTCGATGCATAAATAAGAAAGCAGACTTAGATCATTTTACCGTCGAAGACAATTCGCACACATTTATTTCTGGTAGTACTCAGGATACTGTCTCGATTAAATATATAATTCATTCGTCTGTTTACAGATAAAAATAATAGGACATACTTGTATAAAAATGGATCCGTTTCTTGAAATTTCATTAATGTATTATTTGAACTTGTCATTATATCCATATAATTTGTTATATTAAATAAACGATAAGCACGTAAAGTTGTAACTGGAGGATTAATCCAACTTTCATTTCCATCTGACAATGGAGCTAAACGTGTTTTCTAAAAAGGAAAAAAAATTACTATTATTTTTATTTTTCATATTAGCTATATATTTACTTCAAGAACTTTTGTATGTATAATAGTTTCAACACTAGGCCATTTAAATATAAAGATAATAAAAGGTGCGAATAATATAAGTAGTAATAATGTTTCGCATGTAATACGAACAGGAAATGAACATATTCTAATAGATTTTTTCATTTGAATTGTACTGCAAAATAAATCAAAAAAATACATAAATCAAAAGAAAAAAAAAATTAATTTACGGTGTTGGCGTCGATGATTGTTCCATTATAGTATTTTATCGAGATTCTAAAGATAAATCGTCTTGTTATATTTTATGATAGCAATGATAATAAGAGAAGACAAATACATATAAATAAGAAGTCTCTATTTATTTTTGGATAAAGAAAAGAATAGAGAGTTATTTTTGTTATACATATCAAAGCGTATATCAACGACACTATGAATCATGTGTAATATCTTTTCACGTCAATAATTTCAACGTATAGAAAGTTATATTGACATTTCTGTATCGATACATATTGCTTATTCTTTTCTTCTGCTTCATTTAAGCATCTATAAACACAATTGAATAAATTTCTACATTGTCATAGTTATTTATAACCGTATCTCTTTGCATGAGAACTTATCTAATTAGATATTTATTTGAAAGAAAAGATGTATTATTGAATATAAGAAGAAATCTTAACAAATCGATATTTTATATAGTTAGAAATAAGTAAAATTTATAGACACATTGACTTTAATATATTCTTCATGAAGGATTAAAACATTAAACGATAAAATAGTGAGATTCATATAAGTTAGGCTAAAACTTCATACGCATTTTGTTTTCTTTACTATAGAAATATGAGCAGATGAATTTCGATATTATTTTATTTAATAATGTGCGAGTATATTCGATATAATTCTTAGAAATTTACATATAGATTTTTCTATCATTATTTATATGTTGTTACCGAAATAGAATCTCTATAAGTCTGTTTGAAATGAGAGATGGAATCTATTTTTATTGTTGAAACTTACTAGGAAAGAAAATAAGCATCTACTTTCATAAGACATTTAATCGATGCATTAGTGATGTTTCACGACATAGTGCTCGAGTGTATGTACCGTTAATGGAATAAATAAACAGAGGAAATAGATGACGCAAAAGAATATCCGTTTTTATCTTTTTATTTAATACGAAGAAAGCTTAAGATGATATTGATTTAATACTGAATAGAATTCAATGAATATTTAAGCGCTTAATACATAGAATTATTGTTTACCTATCTGTGTTCAAATAATATTTCAATGGTAGATTGTTCACAATTTCTTCATCGTATTCAAGTTATTGGATCAATTGTATTAATCGTCACATTTATATTTTTTTTTATACTTCTCTGGGATGCCGATTGCTTACTCAGAGAAGATTCATTGAATACTATTGACGATTCTACATGTATATGGTAGATAATAAACAATTAAATCCTACGTGATATTTTTTATCTTTGAAACGATTTATGTGAATAGAAAAAAGTATAAAACTGTTTATAATTATTATCTCTATCGATTAATTATACAGAATGGATTATAAAAAATTACTCCTTTTGTTTTTTTTCATGTGTCTTATCTCAATCCTTTTTTAGCTACTTAATATATGTAAATCGCAAGTTAAGATCATAATCCGTAATTTCTAAATGTTCAAAGGTAGTGTGACGAGAATCATACTATTGATTTTTTTATTGACAACATAAAATCAAAAAAATGATGTCAGCAAGATTGTAAAATAAAAATTGTATCTAGTTGATATCAAATACAACACCTTTAATCTATAACGGATAAGAAAAATTGACAAACACCATATGAAAAGTGTCAAATAATAAACAAGATAGTGTAGCAATTATGCTTATCAGTACAATAACATGACTTAATAAATGCCAAGTCAATTATCACTATTTCAAAAATATGCTTCCTTATATTATCTATCGCATGAATAAATCATGTTTTCAGCTAATCAATACTATTATTAATCGATTAGTTTTTAAATTGAATAATCATCATTATGTATAGTAGATAGACTTCTTCATATTGTAAGACAATTCATGAATTAAATACTTGATAAATCTATGAGGAAAGAATTACAATATGCATATCTACATAAATATTAACACTTCAATAAATTTTTTGTTATGTACAAAAAGTAATAACCTTGAAAATTTCACTAAACAAACTCTATTAAAGTTAATTATTAACTTCTCAATAACTAATTGTGTAGTTTATATAATAATATTTATAAACAATAAAAATTATTCAGAATTCATTAATTATTGTCAAATGATTCCAATGAATAATGCATCCATCTATATATATATCTCTTGTAACTCCCTCTTTCGTCATAATATTTACGAGCACCATAATAGTTCTTTTTCTATCTCTCTCTCCGTATATATATATATATGTATATATCATCTTGTTCTTTTTTTTCTGGAGTTTTCTTTTATCAGTAATGTAAAGAGGATATCAATATAAAGAGAAAAAGTCTTTCCTTTCGTCATCATATACGAAGAAAAGAAGATAATGAGGCTAGAGACTAGCATATTACGATAAACAACGTCAATAACTAGCAGATATCTCTTCTTTTCTCTTCTACTGATACAAGGACAGAATAGACAAATTATTTTGTTCATATATTTATCAATGAATATTCTTTGTTGAAAAATGGAAATACAACAAAAATCATTACAAATTATTTGCTTACAAACATCTTTAACACAATATCATTATCAATCTTATTCAATATTAAAAAATTATCTATTAAAACGTATTCATCTTGGTATAAAATCACAATTGCCTACAAATAAAAATCTATTTAATGAAGTACGTGCACAAAATCCTACGCTTGTTATTCTTCCTGAAAGTACAGGCGCATGGCTTTATTTAATGTGTGTACCAATGCCACAATTTTTACGTAATTATTTTTTTAATTATCGTAATATAAAAACAAATCGTCATTTATTATTTATAACTTATACATTAATAACACATATACGATTATATTTTAAAGAAATCTATCGAAATTATCATTCCAAATGTACATGGATTGGTTTAATACAACATTCCTGGTTCAGTCTTTTTGCTGAACAAACTTATTCTATTTATAAAAAATTATTTAGTGAATTAGCTTGTGAAACAAATACGACGATTGTTGCTGGTTCGATTTTTACATATGAAAATAGTAATAAAAATAAATTACAAAATATCTCCTATGTTTTTGAACCAAATAATGGTTCAATCTGTCTTCAATCTGGTAAACAATATCCTACTAGTGAAGAAAGTCATTTTATTGATTGTTATAAACAGCCACCATCGATTTATTCGATTCCAAATACTAATATCGATATCGGTGTACTTGTATGTGCTGATAGTTGGATGCCACAAGTTTATGAAGAATATAGTAAAATAGAGTTAGATCCTAATCGGCGTTTTCTTTATATTATTGTTGCATTAAGTACTGGTGAATGGAATACGCCTTGGCCTGGCTATGATACAAATGTTGATATTCCTAAAGATGTCGATAATAAACATTTGACTACATTTTCTTTACCAAAAGCATGGTTTCACTATGCTGTAAATCGTGGATTTAATGTATTAAGTAAACGAAATGATCTAATTGGATATGGTGTTATTTGTTGTCAAGGTGTATTAAATATAATGAATGATATTCAAGCACAAGGTGAAAGTATAATATTAATAAAACGTTCGAAAACAGAAGCTTCTATATTATATGAAGCTAACATTTACGAAGATGAAAAAATATTAACATGTGAATTTTGAATTTTTTGAATTTTTTCTAGATTAATTTTCTGGTATCGAATGAGCCGGTGACGTAGAACCTGAAAAGAAAATGAATAAAGAAGTATTAATCGATATTGGATTACAATTAGCACATTTGCGAATGTATCCATTATTCGATATGTGTCATTACCTATTAACTGCTATACATGTACGAGATGATATACAACAATATCCAACAGGTTAGAAATTGTTTTTAATGATTTCATAATAAACTGTTTGATCATCTATTTACTATATTGTAAATTATAAAGGAATTTTTTTGACAACTCTTGTATTGCACATGAATAGCCTTTAGATAAGAGTTATTTATAAATAATTGATTACATCTTGAGTTTGTCTGATATAAGACAAATATTGAACTGATAACATATTGTAATCAATATCAGTATTTTGAAAACGAGAAATGTATTTAAACATTTTAAAGTGAATATTAGAATTAATTTCTTCTTTCTTCGAAACAATTTTGACCTTGTAAATCTATTACAAGTTATCAACGCTTTCCTATTCCAGAAGCTATCATCTGGTGTGCTCCTTGACACGTAAATCAAGGATTTATACATTATGTTCTATCTGTTACATAACTACTAGCTATTGGTACATATATACATAAAATCCCACGAGAAGATTCTAAAGAACTCAAACTTATAAGAAGTTTATCTATTTGTTGAGTACAATGCGTATTTCTTGAAGCCGACTCGATAATAATTATGTCAAAACGATTGAAAGAATGCATCCATTAATATGCGTCTTTTGTCATATGTCATGACAGACATGTCTGTCGATCATTCTATTTTAAATATAATTATAGTCACACAAAATTTTATACGTCGTCACCCATTATCATGTTGGTTATCAACAATGTTACTTTGTTTTTCCGGTTCTATTCTATCGAATTTTTTACTTGGTGAAAATTTAATAAAAGATTTCATTCATCATCAACATCTTCTACTTGCAACTATTTGTTGGTATTTTGTATTTTATTCTCCATTCGATATAATTAATCGTTTATTACGATTTATACCTATTCGTATTGTTATTGGTGTTGGAAAAGAAATTCAACGAACGAAAAAAATTTATGATGGTGTTCATTCAACATTACGTTTATATCCTGATGCTTATCTTATTGTTATACTTATTGGTGCTATTAAAGGTAAAAAAATAATCAATAGAAAATTATTCCATAGACAATATACAATCTAGGTTGTGGTGGATCAATAATGTCATCGATTGATCGATTTATTCGTGGTCTTTGGCTACCTACACAACATGAATTTCTTTTTCCATCTTTGTAAGATATTTGTTTCTAGAAAATTCTGAAAGAATTCGTGTTCATAAAAAAGTTATGATTATTTCACTAAATTTCTAACCTATTTGATCGGGAAAGAGACATAACGGGTGTGGGTGTATAAACCACTCTTCTCTTATAATAGACACCCACACCCACCCACATAGACTATGTATGGACTCCCGATAAAATTGGTAAAAAAAATCAATTCCGAACACCTCAACAAATTACCGGGTATCCGGGACACCTAGTACATTATGTCTTTGTCCCATCTGATCATTTATTTTTCTAATAAAGACCTACATATAGATCAAAAACTCAGTAAAATGATCATACCTCTTGATTAATAGACGCGAGTTCTTATAGAATTTTCTCAATATCAATAAAGTTGATACTTACAAATATTTTCTTGTTTATTCTAGTGCAACAAAAGCATGTTTTCTTTCATCATTAGTTTTCTTATTATCTCATATTGAATTACTAAAATTTGAACATGAATTAATTTATCTATGTGTTGCTTCAATGTTTATATATGTACGAATAATAACTTCATTTTTTAAACAATATGATCCATTATTACCATTTGAAAATCTTTCATGTGGATTATTATTTAATAGTTGGACAGATTTAATTGTAAGTCGTTTTTATTGATTATTGAAAGAGGTAATCATTTTTCATTATAGTCTGATGCATATCGACGAGCAACTGTTGTAAGTCCTGTAACAACACAACAAAATACAGCATTGTCAGCTGCAAATTCATCGTTAAGTAATACGACAGCATTAATGAATGCAAAAAAAGATGGAATTACTAACGATGGACAAATAAAAGGATTTGATGGGAAAAAATGATATTAGGAAGTTTTTCTTTTTTTTTTATTATTATTATTATTATTTATATTTGTTTTGTTTACAATGCAAATGAATCTCATCCTGTTTAGATTTAGTTTTTTTTCTTCTCTTTAGCCTTCTTATTTCTCATAAACTTACTACAGTATATTTGAAGATCATTAAAATAAATAAATTAAAAATAACTAATATTAAATTTTCTTTTCTTCGACGTCATTTGTAATAGCGTCAAACTTGAAAGTTAAATACGAGTATTACATATACGGTGTATTCTAAATAAACTGTACATCATTATCGAATGAAGTGTTCACTGTGACTATAGAATGCAAAGATTAGTCATAGTTAAATATGTCTTCTGAAGATATTTATATACACTCTAATAAAGAGTCATAATTACTCTCCTTCAGAAAACGAAAACAGACCGAATCCGAACTGATTTTTGAAAAATGATTTGCATCAGGAAAAGTCGGTTCGATTCGGCCACGGCTAGGGAACTGCAAAATCACTTTTTTTTGATCTCGGTCCCGATCTTAATAAAAGCTTAAGAATAATTCTGATGTTGTCTTCATCTATGAAAAAATATATGAAGTTTACGAAAATTCTCGTTTTTTCGATTGTAAATTCAATCTATACGGTTTTTCTTGAACTATAAAATAACACATTTGTCAATTCTTAATTAAAGAAAAAAACAAATAAGAAAATGTCTAGTCTTATACTTGATAAAAACATTGAGGAATTAGCTGGCAATTTTAGTCTTGGTCCCGGTCCCGGTCTCGTTAACTAAGAGAAAATTGGTCCCGAGGCCGGGATCATTTTTCAGTTTCCTAGTCACGGTTTTCATTGCTTTTAATATTATCAGCGGTAGGTAGCAGAATGCATTCATATAAAAACATATTTCACTTTATATAAAAGTGCTTCAATCTACATAAAATTATATCTATGTCAAGAAAAAAATCGTACTATCGATGTAATTAATTTCTTCATATGTTTGTTTTACTTTTATTTGTTAGTAATGAAATGCGGAGAGAATTTGTATTGTTTTTAATAATACTTGTCTGATTGTTATGAGAAAACAATTTTCGTTTACTTTATAGAGTTGAAGATATTTTTCTAGAAATGAAACAATTTACATTCTTACTCATCAAGAGAAAATGATTCATTTTTTTACTTCCGAAATTTCGGTTACGTTTTTTTGAAATATATATTTATTCTAAAATTTATTAATCATTCTGTGATTCTGCAGGTATATTTATTTGTCAATAGACAAACATTAGCGTCCTCTTATAGAAGCTTTATAACGGGCTCACCAATTCACCTATGTATGATATTTACCGTAAAAGATAACAGCATTAAACATCTATCGTTCTTTTTTTCATATGTGTTTGTCATAGAAAATTTTCAATGTCGAAGTATTGTAATAATTGTTTTTGTTGTGGTCATTATCTTGTGCCACGATATAAACGATTAGTGAATAATATATTTTCACAAAATCCACAAGTATAATTCATTTCTTATTTAATCAATCAGAAATATTTTCTTATTTATTTAGCATAGTGTTGATAGAAATAATCTCGAACGATTACGTTTTTATGCTATTCAAAAACCTGAAAAACTTCATAAATCATTTCGATATATGTCGGAAAAAATAGCACGTTATTTACGTCATCAAAATCTACCGTTTGTAATTTATTATTATTAAAACTGAGTACAAAAATCTTCTTTTCATTTAGATATGTTATACTTGGTATAAAAGCAATGGATGATACAGTGAAATCTTGTCGTGCACAATTAAATACATTTATTGATCATTATTTAGCAACACTTCATCTTTTACTTGAAGAAAGAGATGATTTAGAATTAATTGAACATGCAATTCATTCAGTATGTTAATTAATATATTTAATACGATAATAAAAAAACACGTTGAGCCTTTCTTTTTTTCTATTCAAGTTTGAATCATTTTGTGAAATTCGTCAAGAAGCACCAAATTATCAAAGAGATTATGAATTTTTTGTCGATCGTTTTACACAATTATGTCATGATAATGATCCAATCAATAAAATAAGGTATATAGATAAACACTCGAAAAGTCTTTAGATGTAAGAAAATAGTGCCGACGAGTGTTTATGCGAAAGATTTTAATAATTACCAAAGATTATTTATGAATATTAATTTTATTAGATTTCGATATCTTGGTCTTCGTGGTCATCAAGCACTTATTCGAAAAACTGCCGGTGATGAATTACATAATGATGTTTGGAAACATATGAATCAAATCATACCATCTATTATATTTAATATGAAAGTACCAAATCAAAATCGAACCCAAGATTTATCGTATTTTAAAATCTAACTATTAATACAACAAAAACAAATTACTTTTTTATGTTATAGAATAACAACCATATCACCTGAACAAGTCATGATAACAACAGAAACATTAACTGAAAATGATCTCAATATTCTAGCTAATACTATTTTGAAAGATTTATTTTGTCGAGTTCATGTTAACGATATTCCTACTTGTATAAAACCTGTTCTTAAGTACAAACAAAAATTAATATTTCATTATTGATTCCTTTTTCTCAGTCATTTAGATCTTCATGAACTATGGACTGTAGTTGATTTTCCAAAGTATATATTTTCTGAAATAATGAATTCAGTTAAGGTATGTTACCTGAATTAAGTCAAAAAAAACAAGTTGATTTTGGTTTTTAGCATCATAATAGTTATAAAACTATTGATTTACTTCTTGAGTATCTTGAATTGTACTGTGAGAAAAAAGACATATTACGTATAAAAACTTGTATTATGCAAGTTATTCATGTTTGTTTAATGTTTGCTGCAACCAATACGGGAGTTGGTATGAATAATACATAAATATTTTTTTTTATATGCCTTGTTTGTTTTTACAACTAGAATCTACAATATTTAGTGGAATAGCACGTCTGATAAAATGTTTAGAAAAATCATTTCATAACGAAAGTAGACGTTCGAAAGCATCAGTATATATTCAAGATGAACAACAATTTCAAAATGCAGTTATTGATGGAATAAGTAAGCAATAAACATATTAATACGAAAACACCTACAAAATTTATAGAATGTCTGTTATAGGGACAGATAAGTTAGCATAATAAATACCTATTCATATTTTACTTATTTAAATGATGCTGAAAAAGGATATCGGAACTAGAAATAGAATTAGTTATCGCTTCTCTCTCTTATGCCATCAAAAGATTTTAATTTATATATGATCATATAACGATTTCTTTTGTTATTTCATACAGGAGAGTTTATGGAAAAATTACGCGATTATCAAATAATGGAGGTAATGCATATAATTATAACATCATTACCAATAGTTAATCAAGACAACGAAAATAAAAAAAATCATTTAAGGTTTATTCTTATCATTAATATTTATGTGAGAAAATATACAATCTATATTTAGTGATGTCAATTTGAAATTTCAATTACTTCTTCTTAAAACAATGCAAAAAGTACGTTTATGTTTCTTTTTTAAAAAAAAATTTCTATAGAACTTTCAATACAAATATTTACTAATTAATTGATTACATTTATGAAGTCTTCGAGTTTCGCCAATAAGATTTTCGCTATTGGCGCATGTCTTATTGGCGATATTTGGGTAAACCAAATTTATTACTAATCAAAGTAAATTTAGGTTGCAACAACGTATCAAGCTAAACACCACGATGAATCAACATCAACTCAAACAACATTTCCTCATCAATTATTTGATCCATTAATTAAAATGATGAGTGCATCTGTCGTAGAAATTCGTTTAATTATTCTAGAAATTCTTATACTACTAATCGATAAAAGACATTATGCTGATAAAATACGTAAAATTAGGTAATTAGAAAATTTGATTAAATCAATAGTATAATCATATTTTCTTTTCTAAGAATGCCGAAAGATATTTCACAACTTAATTTATCAGCTGCAACAAAAACATCACATCTTGTTGATATGCCATTTATGAAAAAAGTAAATTTATTTCTTGATAAAAATTCTAGAAATAAATCAATGTATTTTAGTATGGTCCTCAGTTTCTTCCACAACTTTATAATTGTATATTAATGAATAATAATACAAAAGATATTTTTTATACTATTTATTGTCTTATGAATATTGTTACACTTGAAGTTAATGATCAAGATATACTTGTTGATATTATTCATTTTTGTTTTGAAATTCAAGTAAAAATAGTTAAAACAAACAAAATAGTTGTTTCTTTTTAATTTTCATTAGTTTTTTTTTCTAGTCAACATTATTAACAACGATTGATGAAGATTATAAAAAATTATCGAAAATCAATTGTAATTGTATACATGCTTTAATTGCAGCATATTTCAATTTAATGTCGAAATTATATGGAATTGAAGCTTTTTCTGCTCATGTCGATGAAGTAAGTTAATGTTATCTAATACTTAATAGATTCTTTTCAAGATCGAATTTAAAACTAAGTTTTGCTAAGATTTTAATACATCTACTATAGCGACCTGCACGGAGTCAGGTAAGTTTCATGTCAATAATTCAACTTTAACATTGAAGATTATTTTAGTTCATAGTTTTGTTGTCCAACATTTTCTCTACAAAATGATGTATTTTGAAGGATAGGTCGATGCTTTATTGAACTTCACCGAGACAAAGAAAAGTCGGAGTCATTTTCGACTCCGATTTTTCTGTACTTTATTTTGTTTTTTGAGACTTGCTGAGACGGATGTCGATCCTTCAAAATACATCATTTTGTAGAGAAGATGTTGGACAACAAAACTATGAGCTTAAATAATTTTTAACGCTAAAGTTGAATTATTGATATGAAGTTTACTTAACTTCGGCGGCGACTCCGTGCAGGAGTCTAATCTATTAGCACTGAAAGTTCTTAATAATGATCTTTGGGTGGGTATATTTTAATCTTATAGTAGGTCGATCTCTATTACAAATGATTTCGATACATTCATAGACTTGTAATATATAATAGATCTGCGAAAGAAAACTGCTAAGTAATTTGTATCGAAGTGAAACGTTCACGTACACGAAAACAGGCTTATATTGATTCTCATCTGATTTTAAAATATTTTAGTTGTATCTATCCATCTTCTCAGCAAAAAGTTTCTCTTTTTTTAAATTTTGAATGCGTCAATAATTGCTGAAATGTGCTAGTGTAGTTACCAAACAGTCAGAAAAATGTCAGATAATCACTAAAAGCGAGCGCTTTGGATCGTATAATTCAATGTTGCCAAGTGGCAATATCCGGTCGAAAAAATTTAAAGAAAAAACTTATATGACGATATGTTATTATTATTCTATAGTTGTCATATACAGATTATTTTCATAAACAAAAATACCTGTCATATCATATAATTAAAGTATTCATGTAGTTTATTAAATGATATGTTGCTGACAAGTTGATTCTATATATTCATTTTAATAAGAATAATTGTCATATTATCATTTGATTTTCTCTTTAATATAGGTTATTCAGAGTCGTGAGTTATCTGCACCACATCTTCTTCCGCCAAATGCGTTTCAATCTACGACGAAAGAAAGTTTATCAAAATCTCTTTCAATGGAATGTTTATTCTCTGAAAAAATAGTTATTGATGCATTAAAACTATCTCATTACGATATATCACGATTCGATCGTATTATTCATAAACCAGGTTAGTTAATTATTTATTAATTATTATTATTATTATTAGTATTTACATTCGGATTATTATTCTCATTCAATGTAACAACACGTGATTTACGTCTTAAAATATTCGGTAACATACGAAATGGTTTACATTGTAGAATCGCTAATACATGACCACAATATTTTTCATTTGTTGTCATATAACAAAACGGTTTAAGTACATGGCATAACAGATAAATATCCTTAAATTTATATGACCATGAAATATTTGATAATTCATATAACCAATAGGGTATATGAACAATTAAATAAACCAATAATAGAAGCCATGTTGATTTATATAATGTTTGACTATTTTCCACAATAGCTAAATAAGTTATATAATCAAATGTTTGAAATGAACGTTGTGCTGATGGTGTCATATCACTTGCGATTGAAGCTGTTGTTGAAACATTATGAGTTGGAGGTGAATACATTGAACGACGATTGATATTTTCGAGATTATTCTAAAAAAAGAAATAATACAATCATTGTAATTAACAAGAATAGAAAAAAAAAGAAATTAAATAATATAACAAAAATTCTATCAAGGAGAGTATCTTGTAATTGAATATCTTTGATAACATTATGCAATTAGTTGAAAGGAAAAACTCTTTTTTTTCTAAAGGAATATAATAAGTGCTATACAGAAAAAAAAGTCTAGTTAAATCATGTATATAAATTAATAATTTCCTCGGTTTGCCTGGTGTAATAAACTATCAAGTGAAGAACACGTGCTCATAATAACTAAAGTTATGCTAATTGCCTGAAAATGACTTCAGGAATATATGAATGTTACCTTAGTTGTTGTTTTTTTTGTCTATGTAAAAATGAAATAGTAAATTTATGCCATTAAGTCCGGATGTTCGTCCCTTGAGAATATACTGCAAGGTCAAAATGACTATTTTTCATCTAACTCTTAAAATTTTATAGTGAATTGCAAAGATTACACATTTATCAAGAACAATATTTCTTATTAAATTCGTCTCGTATTCCTCTAGAGATGTGCATGTTTTTAACAGTAATAGAACACATTTATTTCCTAGAAGGTTAACTAAACAAAATAATATTCATACCTGATCAAATAGTAATATTTCTTGTTGAATATTTTTTGTTATATTTGCTGTTTCATTGACACTTTTTAAACTATTTTGTTTATATTTTTTAATTGAATATTTCATTCGAATAAGTAGAATAAATTGAATAAATATAATTAAATATGTTATTATACAAGAAATTATATTTAAAGTTTTATATGTTGTTGTATGTATATAAAGAAATATTTGTTTACATGATGGTGGACGTTGTTCATATTCATATTCATTTATATCAAGATAGGTTAATGTTGTTGATAAATAAATAATAATTAATGGTGTCATAAGAAATAAACATAAAAATGATAATTTTGTTGTTGATAAACGTTTTTTATAAAAAAATGATAAGGCTGTTATAATAAGAAGATTTATAATAACGATTTCAATAATTGTTGTTAATTTTTCAAAAAATTTTAATATAAAACAAAGAAATACACATGGTAAACCTTGGGATATATCAATGAAACGTAATGGTATAATGAAATTACAAACGAATACATCATTTATTAAAAATGCTAATATATATTTATCAAATGTGGAGATAGACGAACGAGCAGCAGGTAATATAGGCGGTTGAATCATTTGACCATGTGTTGGTTGAGTCGATCTTAATAATGACATATTTGTTGTAGGACTTGGTACTCGATGATGATCTTGATGATGATATGTTTTTCGTTGAATTGCTAATATTAAAAGCCAATTAAATATAATACCAATTAAACCTATTGAAGCTAAGAATATTAATTGTATAGTAAACATGATTGAATTTTGTTGTTTGTATATTATTTCTTCTCTGTTTGTATAAATACTCAATTGTCGTCGTTTTTCTTATTCGTTTGTAGCAAAAAAATAAATAAGAACAAAAGCAAATCTCATATAGAAGGAAAAAAAAATTATTCTATGAGCTACTATTGCTATTTAATCTCCTTCGTGCTCATATTAGTAGAAAGAGCGAACACGACAGCACATTCATCATTTTCTACATAATATAGTAACCTTAGCTTCCTTCTTTTCTTCCTCTTCTTTCGTCTACTATAATTGAATTGTGAATGCATTTTATATCCTAGAATCTAACGTTCGCAATGATGGAAACAATCCTGGAATAGACACAGACGATTCTATAAGTGATATAACTGATCGACCTGTAAGATTATATATATTAAGTTAAATGAAAGAGCTTTATTATTTTTTTCATTTATAAATGTAGAAGGATAATGTAAATGACGATATATCATATGAAAAAGTACGTAGTGCATTGAATACTACTGACTCAACAAATAAAAATATACGATTATCAAATGATGTTCGTACCAAACAATTTGGAGAATTAAAATTTGCTGTTAATGAAAAAGTAAATATTCTTATAATTATTTAATTTTTTTTAAAGTCATATTTTTTTTATTTAGAAAAAACAAATTGATCAACATATTGAACATATTTTAGACGATGGTTATTTAACAAGCAGTAGTTCAATATCTAGTGATAATTCAAAAACGAATAATTTTGATTATCCACCAATATTTGTTGATTAAATACTTGTTATCATTTTTTTTGTATTCTAATAAAATAACTAAGCTAAATTTTGTTTCCTTAATCAGTAATAATATAGTCTGCTGGAAGAATTCTTTTTCCGGCAAAGAGAAAAAAAGAAGGAAAAAAATTTATTAATGATGATTAAAATACCATCTGCTACTTTCGTCTCATAAAAGATTGACATTGACATAAGATTTCTTATAGGAAAACCTTCATTTTTTTAATTGATTGAAGCCCACACATGTTGAATGTTCCAATCGATTTTACAAGTACATTTTATTGTCGACTGGTTAAACAACGATCGAATACTACAGTTTATTAATATAAAAAAAAAAGTATGAGTACTTGTTCTGTTATTGTAAAATTGTATTTTCTATTTATTACAGTTAAGTATTGTACGCTTACACATATTCGAAATAATAATCGTTGATAGACTCTACAATACTTTTTACCGACATTTTATTTACAATTATGAAACTCCTAAGATTCTAGAGTAGCTTGAATTATTTAATATTGTATATCACATGCATACCATTTCGATATACTTGGATCTAGCTTTTGTATTAATCGTAATTGAATTTGATTGATTGATATTCTGCTAAGTATCTTTTGTCTGCACGTTTCAAGGCATGGTTTGATCGATATAGCATATTAGAGAATTAAGCGTTTATATGCACTTTAAACATATAAACAATTGATTGAATTTGACTGTCTGATGTCCTCCTCAACCTATGTCATTAGTATCATATTCAAAGACATACAGTTTTATCTAAACTTTAATATATATTAACCATTCTTAATAGAAAAAAAATCGTACATGATATGCTAGGCGAATTATTAAAGTTCTTCTGAGATGCACAGTATCTTTATTTAATCTGTTGACTGAGAGTTTATATTTTACCCATTATATTTTTTATTAACAAGGAATCATGACATTGAAGTGTATGAACAGAATTCTCTTCTGCGGAAAATAACGAGCATGTATTGATTTATTATTTATAGAAATCAGAGACCAAAAAATAAACCAGACTAACTTCTGATGAGAATTCTAATAATTCATTCCCATGGGTTCAAAATTTAATAGCGATAAATCATATTTTTGACATTACAGTTAAAATAAACTAGTAAACACTCGCTACTATTGTCTTATTACAATTGATTAGAATCATTATTCAAAACACACGCAATGCCAAAAATAGACACTTTTAACAGAAGTTGGCCTCTTATAAAAATATAAGTTTCTACCACTCAAATCACAAATCCTTCTTCTTATAATAAATAACATGTAATCAGACACACTTATTCTATATACTTTAAAGGATGTTTTCAAAAATATAATCATGCGAAATTATTTTATGCCACACTATAACATATTTCTTCTCTATGATCTTATTAACTGATGAATTAGTAGAAGTTGCCATTGTGTGTATATACCAAATGTTCTTTTTAAATAATAGAGAATATATAGACCTTCAAACTGAAATTTTAAATATAAAATAATTTTGATTAGTTTTATTTTTTCTAGTATCAATTATAGAACAAGGTAAGAATTTGTTTATAATATTACTCATATTTCATATTAAGATAAATTTAATCTAAAAATGCGCAAAGTAAATTTTTTTTATTATACCATAAAAATTTAATCACGAAACTGTCTCGCCAAATGTTATATTTCCCAAGGAAATTATTCGTTTTGATTAGAAATCTTATTAACAAATAAGAACTGTAAAATACTTTTTGATTGATAAAAGTCTCTAGACACATTCGAGTACTTTCTTCATGTACTGTGTATATAAAAATCAATATTTCTTAATACCTTCTTCTATTAAAATTCATCTAATTTTGTATTCACGTCTGAATATAACAAGATTTATTCGAGATCGAATTATTGTACATTTTACTTGATACTATATATAATTGAATTGACCTTTAGACGAATGAGTCTTATTACATTGAACCATGAAGTAGAATTATTTAGATTCTCTCTTTTTTTTTTTGTTGCCTCAAGATAAATCATTCTCTATTTATCTTTCGTAATTTTCATTGCCTTTGGCATTTCCGTATTTTCTATGTCAATAAAATCTTTAAAACCTATTGAAATAAATTTCGGAAAAACAAAAAGAACCGTTTTTTTTTTGTTTGTTTTATTATGATTATGTAGAAAAATTATTCTTTGCGTTTCTGTTCTGGTCGTCGATCATCGGAAGTGAGAAATTGGAAGAAAATAATAGAAAAGAAGCAGTTATTTCCGTTGGGTTCATCAATCGATTGATCATTGAATGTTACTTAAGACATCCTTCTTGCAAGCGTTTTATGTGTGCGTGTGTCGAGGTCATTTATAAAGGAGAACATTCTGTAGATCGAACTTCACTTGATATGCTTTGATGTCATGATTGTATATTCTGGATGACGGAACAATAGATGCCTAAGAACAATGCTTATTGAGGAGAAGCATTACAAGGTCTTCACAAGTTCTATATTAAAGAAAAGGAGAAGAAGAAGAAGACGAAATAACGGAAAAAATGTTTGCTAGATCGCTAATGGTAGTGTTCACTAGACAAGAGACAGAGAGAGAGAGAGGGGGAGAGAATTAGCTTGAGTTACATAATCATTTACACCGGCATGACGATACTAGAAAAAAGAAAAGGAGAGAAAATGGTAATAGTAAAATCAACAACTTTTTTTTTCAGCTATGATTTGCTAGACAGAGAGAGAATGCGTATGTCAGAATAAATGTAAATAATCATTGCATCGATATGGAAGATAGATGATGATTATTATCAAATGAAACATTATTAAGATAATATTAAGAACAAAACATAGGTAGGATAATATAAATATATTGAGTTCATCTATATTAAATGATGAGAATATGAATATCTTATAGTACTCATGAGGAAAAGAGAAAACGGCATGAATAGTTTATATGCATTTTTATGATGTAACTAATATGCATGCTCATGTCTTTCGCTAGTAGATGAATGACAGACAAGTTAGCAGTCATATAAGAAAAAAAAGAATGAATGAATGAATAGAAGTGAAACGATCCATCTGTATTTCACAGTAGGTGATCTACACTTCTGTTATATACAAGGACAATTCATCTACATACTCTATGCTTTTATGTAAAAGGATAGTCGTAATAATAATCTTCTTCTTCTTTTTTTTTGTTCTTAATTCAGCTAATCTCGTTTTTTTCCCATTATTCTCGCTAAATAAAAGGTGAGTAGGAAAGTGTTGAATAGATTTTATTTATAAATAATCTAAGACAACTGAGATTTCTTGTTTTGTCTAATACTTTCCTGTATTTGTTTAATGAAGCACATAACATTGTTCATTGCTTTTCTAATGTATATATAACCACACGTGGAAAAGGAATCGATCATAGCTACTATTATTATTATTTTAGCTTGATCTCATCATCAAATGTTTCTGTTTGACTAGTCATATTAGACAAACAGGCGTTCTTATCCTATCTGATGATGAACTCTAAACATTGATTGCCTTGTTTCGTTCATTTTAGTAATAATAACGTGATGCATTTCCATCAGATTAGGTGTACTTATCAACAAATACTGACATCGCATGTTGTCTGATCGAACATTTTCTCTTCTACTAATGATAATTATCGTTATCGTCGTCGTTGGATTTGGAGAAAATACATCGTGTACTCCTAAGAAATTAATTCTTCTTTCCAATTGTTCATTTCGTAATATTAATTCCTATAATTATTCATCATATTTATTTATGAATCAAACGACGAACGATAATCGAATATTATCAATGACTGTACCATATTCATTAAATCGAAATCAAGATGATGATTTTCATATTACAATTATAACACATAATAAATCGTTAAAACCTTTAATACGTTTTAATTTAAATATGATTGAATGTTCAAATAAAAATTCATTATTAAATTGGACATCACTTGAATCATCATCAACATTACATGGTGAATTTCTTCGTACATCATTTATTGATAAAAACTTAATGTATTTACAATCTGGTAATACATATTTAAAAAATTTAACAGCTATTGATTGTTTAACTAAAACAATGTATCGTACAGATGAACAAGAATTATTTCAACTTGATTTACGTATTGAATCAACATTAAATGATTATTGTTCAAATGAGCATTTATGTTATCCAGAAGAAAATTATCAATGTAATCTAATCAAACATCGTTGTATATGTCGACAACCATTACAATCTTATTCAATTAAAGAATCGTTTTCAATATGTGTACAAGCTGTTGATAATATTGATCAATGTACAATGATAAATAAAAGATGTTTACAATGGTGTCATCAAAATAATTCAACAACAAAATGTTTATGTCCAAAGGAAATTTCGAAAAAAAAAATTTCCTATAATAATCAAGGTAAACAATAACAGCAACAAAGAAAATCATTTTTCTATTCTTTTTTGTTTTTCAATAGCTTATTGTGAAAGTCGAACGGGTGGAATATGTAATTCATTTATTCAATGTCCATTAGAAAATTTATGTATACATGGAACTTGTCAACATATTAATAATGAATTCTATCAATCAATTTCTATGAATATTGCTACTATTTCAATCATAGTCTCATGTCTGATTATTTTTATGATAAGTGCTATTTTGGGAATTGGTATATATATACTACGTCGCCAACGATGGAAAAAGCATTATCATTCACCAATTAGTTCTGTTTGTGCAAAACAACAACAAATGACTGTACCAACTATAAGTGATTACGATAATATAACTTATGGAGCATTTCGTGCTAATATACAACTTTCATCTAGTGATGATAATGATAGTTCACCAATGACAACTTCGGATGATTGTTCATATGAACCAAAAATAGTTTATCTAGGCGGTGAACAACAATTAACAGCTATATTTGCTTAAATTATAATAAAAAGAAAAAAAAGGGAGAATTCTTTTTTTTGTCTGTCTTTGAAATAAATTAAATTCGTACTTTTTTTTCTCTTTTCTCATTAAATAATTGCTTGAAACAAAATATTTTAAGCATGACTAATTGATAAAATTTTTATTCTAAAAAATATCTATTCGATTCAAAGAATAGAACAGATTAGGCTAATATATCTAAAACCATTCTATTTTTAGCTTTTATTTATTATATAAACTTTTTTTTCGTTAACTAGTTTTCATAATCAAACAAAAAAAAATATATACATTAAACTATAATTATTAAATTTGTTTCTATAAACAAAACAAAAAAGAAATATCAAACGTTAATTGTCTATTAGTATGACATCCATACTCTTCTCGTTTTTGTTCAAGTGTCACAAACAAGTAACTGACACATGTCTAATTTCTTTACATAATCTATATATAGAAAGTAATTTTTTGTTTTCATCTCTCTTGTCTTTTACTTCCTGTGCATACTGTTTTCACATCATTAGTTCTTTTTTTTTTGTTTCGATCAGATTTCATCTTGTTAATAGCTACTCCACTGATTCAATTCTTAGAAAAATCGAATGTACTGTTTTTTTATTGTTTGTTGTTTTTCTCATATTTCATTCTCTTGTTATCATTTATTTATAAACAGAAATTGTCGATAGAATAAAGTAAGATAAATAAATAAATGCGTCTTATTAAAAATTTCCATGTAAATTTTTTTTTGCATGACACTTGACACAGTATATCCAAGTAATAGTTAGATTTGAATGTTTAATTTTCATATCATCTTTTGAAAAATAAGTATTAAATCGATTTAGTTTTGACATTTCTAATATTCTCAAAAGACTACCATAACAATCTTTTGAATATCTCTAGTGACAATTTGTTTTTTTTTTGCATTTATATAAATTATAGTTTTAATTCGTATGAGATTTCCCAGATCGCGAATATATAAGATTTATATATAGAATCATTTTAATATTAGATTTGCTTTTAAATATATACGTTAATAGTTTCATCAAAATAGAAACAATATTTATTATGTTGTAACAAACAAATTAAACTTTGTTTATTTCAATGGAACTAATATGTATGAAAAATTTTATTAATATTTAAACATCTCTATATATATATATGTCGTGTAACACTTAATATATCATTTAAGCTCTATTAACCGAATATATTATTTACAGACAACATGTCAATAAAATGAAACTAACTTATCTGTATATAATTATCAATTGACATACAAAAAAAACAGATCTCATAGGAAATATCCATCTGTTAGTAACAGAGATATAGAAAACGTTTGATATATCACAAAAAGAAAAAACATATGATATTTATAGACATTATTTGCAATTAGTTGTTGTGTTCAAAAAATTTAGTTTATATTTAATTTTGATTGAGTATTTACTTATTAAATATTAATTAAATTATATTTTAATAATTAACTATATATATATCGATAAAGAGAATAAGAAAAATAAAGTTTACAATCTATAGAATATAAGTGCAAAAGATATACTTTATTTTTAGTGCTGATTGAGTTGTCTCTTATTTGTTATGGCACTTTTTTTTTCTTTTTCTCTTATTTTTTCTTCTTCTTCTTCTCTGTACTCGTTTTCTTTCTTTACAGAATCAGAAAACATACTGTTAAAAACAATCATGCAGTTATTCTCATAATTGGACGAGAGAAAACTTTATCGTCCATATTCAAATTCTAAGAATATATATATATATATATTGTTTCATATAATAGTAATTAACAATTAAAAATGAACATAACCAATCTATCGATATTATCAACATTGAATGA